ATTTTTTTAAAATACAAACCGTGGTTATATTAATTAACCAATAAAAATTCAAACACGTGATTAACTGAAGTTAGAACTGTAGTTACAACTGGCAGTTGTCAAACTGAACTAAACCAAGTCGAACTGATAACATCCCTATGTGTAACTAATTAAACTAATTTGTAATACCAAAATGGATGCACTAACGACTCTTAGAATGGAAATTAATCATATCAGTCTCAGTCCAAATGAACAAGACATTTTGCGCAAATACTTCACTGAAAATGTAGAAAAAATAAATGTCATCGTGTCTTTTCTCCTTGATTACGTGACGGATGATGAGAAGCGAAGTCCTTAATATCCACGCCTGGTATGTTGCATTCTTGCCCACACTGTGTCATATTTGCCAATAATACTAATAATTACATACTCTTGTGCTTTTCTTTCCTGCTTCTTATTCGTCAAACCCGCCCAAAAACACATTCGCATTATTATAGATTAACCCGTTTCTGGTAAGTGATTCTTAATAATTTTGGTTAACGCGAGTAAACGCATTTTTGTTTGATATCTGCACTCATATAATTATATAATTCCGAACTTATACCGGACTTATACTACTATTTTGTCTTTAACATTGCTAGTTTCCACAGAGTCTTCTAAGCGACAATATTTGGCTGATTACAAGGAAGGTTAGCATTATAGCATGTGCTTGTTTCTGCAGAATTTGTTGTCTTGACTAATATTTTCTAATCTTTGTAGAACAGAATAGAAATGTGAAGAAGATTTGAAAATATCCTTCCCCATCATCTTTATTCACATCAATTATTTGTATGATCATCAAAACAATGATCAGGAGTTTATCATTTATCACCCTTCTAGTTGTGTCGGCACACTATTGATATTATATAATTCTGCTTTTTCTCAGTTCAAGGAAGATTTTAACAACGAAAAGCTACCTATGGATAAGGAACATAATCAATGAACCCTAAATTGTATTAAAACTATGTCAGATTTTTATTCAGATGAGAAACTTCGTCAGAAAGAGTTTTATGAAATTATTTGCAAATTATTTAGTAAAGATATACAAGTAATTCAGCTTGATGATAATAGTTCAAACGATAGAACTCTGGAATTAGATTTTCATACATATATTATACCTTCTCATTGAGATAAAAAATGAAATTGGCATTGGTAGATGTAATCCAACTACCCAGGCGGTGGCTTTCTATGCAAAGTTTTATACCCAAATAAAGTATCAAAAAATACTCAAAGGATGCAATTTGCCATGCTTCATTATAGGATTGGCTGGACCTTGGATATGCATATTAGGGGCTGTTTATGTTGAGAAACCACTTATTGAACCTCTAACAAGCTTTGAACCTTTTATCTTTACTAATGATCGAATTCACTTGGATAAAATTGCATGACTCTTCAGAGCCTTGCGTTTGGGAGGTGACAATCTGAAGACATATTATAATTTACTGCCACCTTCTGTAGTAACCAATGTAGATCCTCAGTGGTTTTTCCCTTACCCTCGCAATTGCAAAGGTGTTGGAGACTTTATATACAAAGAAAAACTCGTTAATGATATTAATGATCCACACAAGCTTCTTTGGAAGGCTGAGACAAAAGAAGATGGTCGCTTAATTGTTGTTAAGTTTACACATAGGTATAATTGCCACGCACACAAATTGTGCCATGATATTGGAAAAGCACCAAAACTGTTATATGTATCAAGTAATCTATGTGAACTTTACATGATAGTTATGAAATATGTTGATAGCTGGAGACTATGTGATTGTGATGATTTGAAAAACTCTGAATGTAAAAAAATCATCAACGATATTGAAGTGGCTGTAAATAATCTATACGCGAAAGATATTGTTTTTGCAGACCTCCGTAATTCTAACATCTTGGTTATTAAAGATGATGATGAAAAGTATAGCAAATGTTGGTAGATTTCGACTGGGCTGGCCTGGATAATGTGGATTACTATCCGACTTTCATGAATACTGATGTTAATTGGCCAACTGGAGCTGAAGATAAGATGAAGTTAAAGAAGGAACATAATATATATTGGCTGAATTTGTTGAAACAGCAGTACTTGAATGATGAGGGTTTAATCTAAGGTGAATCTATTTGAAAATTACTTCTTTTGTTCACCATTCATATATTTTTTATTTCATGAAAAAATTTATAGATCTACTGCACTATATATTAAAATAAATATATAATAATACCTGTCGAAATCAGCATGTATGTATATTAATAAAGTATTAATAAAACAATTATTAGTTGTTTTGTATTTTCAATACGTCTTATTTACAGTATATAATCTAGCTGAAATTTTTTTAATACGCGATAATTTATCAGATAAAAAAATAGATAGAATTATATGCTTATGCCTAAATATATCGCAAATCTAATAAGGCTTGAATGTGGTTATACAAAATTGTATATGCGTGATCTTGGAATGCTACTAGAAGATTTCAGTAAATCCACCATGTGTATTATTGCCGAAACCTTAGATTTCGGGATGCAATAGTATTAATAATACTGCTATCAAGAAATAGCGAAATCATGTCATAGATTAGAGCATCTCGATATATATGACTGTGGGTATATTACTACTGGTTTGGATATTCGTGTTATTGCCCACTATCAACTGTCTCTGCTTCTTCTTCATCTATTAATCCTAGAACCTTTAAAAGTTCATAATCTTCATCTATGACAAATCAATTAGTAAGTTTATTTCCATAGCTGATGTAATACTCAAAATTTATATATCCTTAATTTAGCATTCTAAAGCCTCTTCGATTAAAAGCAGTGGTGTTGCTTAAGCAAGCTGGTCAAAAATAGATTGCATAAAAATCAGGCCGGATAGAAGGATTAGAGGTGTTTTTATTATCATCGAAATTATCATGTGAAATTGATCACCTGAATGTGCAGAAAAGATATTGGGAACAGGATGCGAATCGTATCGCATATATATTCACATCATTTTTTTTTGACTCAATTTGCATTTATTTTTGCGTGTTATATCTCTTACTATCATACTAACAAAACAATATTCAGATATAGATATTTTTTTGCCAATCATTATTTCGCATGATGAGGATTTGGGGATATATGCTAATCTTTTGGCCATCTTTATTGATTTTCAAGGAGGTTAACGAATGACGAAATGCAGTGCGTAATCAAAATTTACAAGTGATATAAAAACAGGCCTATTTCATTCACTTTCTTATTCTCCTCTGGTCTAATCGAAGGCAGGACGATATGGACAAATCACAAATCATAGCTCTCTTAATAAATATTCTCAAATCAACACTCAGAACTCTTGCTAGAAATGTCTAAATTCTAAATGTCGATCCATGTTTGTTGTGTGAAGAAGAGTTACTTTTGAATTCATCAGACTCGATCAAAGAATTTACCCTAGCATCATGTGGTCATATCTTTTACCAAAAGTGTCTCGAGAAGCATCTTGTGAATGGTGAAGCGATATGTCTAAATAAGGAGTGTAACAAAGTTATAGGAACTTTTCTCTCTCTGGGGCTGGAAAAAAATAAGGATAAGGAGATAGGATTACAAGAGTCTACAAGATCATCTGCAGATGAAACGAACACCACTACTACAGATTTGACCAATAGCATTGCTACTACTGCCACTATGGCCAACAAGTAGACTCAAACCAAACCCCGTGGATGATATTGATAAAGGAGAGGAAGAGCAATCGGTAGTAAATCAAGAAATAGACGTAGATGGTGATGAGGATGAAGACAAAATAGAAGTTTAAGCTTATTCTAATACCAGTGGTAAGAAGTAGGCTAACGAAGCTACGGATTCTTTATCTAGCAAGAAATTTAAGAAACATGTTCAACCAGAGGAATCTAACATTTTAAAAAGGCTTATCTAAAAGCTATTTTCTGACACGACTTTCTAAAATTAAGGAAAGAAAGAGCTTTATAAAGAATCTGCACAAGAAGTTGAAGGTGATCAAACTTTTTTTGAACTGTATCTAAAAATTACTAATGCTAAAGAGCAGAATGAAAATGCATATCTATTGCATACTACCACTTTGAAGAAAAGCTAGAGAAGCATCTTACTCATTATAGAAAAACAGATGTAGATCATAAGCCATAAAGAGGGTTTACAATGAAGTTAAAGATCAGCTTTCCAAAGAGGTTACCAAGAATACTATCTGAAAGAAGTTAAATAAAAGAGGAAGGTTTTGATTTTTTTTTGTATTAGCAATGATAAGATTCAATATATGGTACTAATCTAATGAATAAAAATGTTTTCAGCGACATCTATTTCAAATTTAAGCGATGGTGATATCAAATATGTTGCATCTCAGGTTAAGAAAAATACTAGACAAAATTAAGTGAAAGGTGCTTCACAAGATTTTTCGGTCATATGATACCTGAATTTCGAGATCAGAACACAATGTCCTCTTCTCAAAATTTTAGCATTTTTTTTATATAGTATTGTAAAGCGTGATTATTATTACGCATATAATAAAGCATCTATTTTTACCCACATCTGGATTAGTGTTTTTTAACATATGGGGTGTGAGCTAGGAAAATGACCTTCTGAGATTAATTTACCATTTTGAGTAAATGATAAACAAAGC